CTGGGGGTTGGAGAAAACGAAGAAAAGAGGGGGTTAGATAATGAACACTGCATTGGAACAGATGAGGAAAATAAGTGTTTAAGAGGAATATGTGATTAGGTATTATTTGCACAACAGTCCAAAATAAGAGGTGCATAGCAAAGTGGACTGGGGTATGGGTGGGGTGTAGGGAAGAAAATGTGCAACAATGAATAAATGGAAATCGAAGTTTTCTGAAAACGTTCATTAAAATCACAAAAAAAATATAAAAAAGAAAAAATTCTGAAGTAATGGCTACATGAGAACTATAAAAAGATTTATACAAAACCGTAACATTTTCAGTACAGTTGTAACACAATATTCTATTAATTGTAAAATGCTCCAAAGCCAAAAAACATCAGATCTTGAGAATATCTAAAATCTCAACGTAAAAACTGAAATCTTAATAGTTTTCAAATTAAAATTTTTTTAAAAAAAGCAAAATACCAACTATATTCATTGCCAGTAAGTTGATCCTGACACAAAGTAGAACAGTACTGTACCATAGTATTTCTAATGAAGTGGCTTTTCTTTCTCCCATGGAATGGCTAATGGGTTTTTAACCACCAACTATGAAGTTAGCAGGCCATCATTTAAATCACTATGAGACCAGGACTCCTTTTCATGAACTTTAACAATATTTATTTTATTTCACATCTATAATCAATAATTGAGTTGTTTCAACCACTAAGACGACATTCTGATTTTCTAAATGGGAGAAACTGATTTTAAGGAAGTAAACGCAACTAGGACACCTTTTGTATTTGTAAATTAATACTCTGGTGGTTTAGTGGAAAGGAGTTGTGTTGCCAACCCAAAGGAACACGGTTCAAATACACCAGCTGTTCTACTGGAGAAAGATGGACGATCTCCTATGTAATTCACTGCCTTTAAAAATCTACTTGAGGGTCAGTTAAGGGTTGGTTCTAACTTGACAGCACACAACCACTGTTTCTCATTTCTCTACAATGGTTCCTTCCGTTAGCAAAGTGGGAATGTGGTCACCAGCTGCCGTGGGATGGTATCCTTAGAGCTGGGTAGGCAGACAAGAGGAAAGACTCTTGTTCCGACTCTACAGATAACAGATGTGGAGAATTTTATTAACAAACATAAGCAGGATGGGAGGACCAATTTGAAAGATATTTCTTACCAAATTATAAGTATTATGCAACTCCAATCAAAATGTCATCTGAAAGTTTTAGAAAATATACTCTAAACATGATAGGAAGCTTTGGTAATCTAGTGACAAAAAGCTATACTGCAATCTCAAAGGCACATGATTCGAGGACACCAGCTGCTCCACAGAAGAATGGGCAATCTCCTCCCATGCAATTAATTGCCTCAGAAAACCCACTGGAGGGTTGGCTATGGGTCAGTTCTGACTCGATGGCACACCACCACCACTAAACATCAAGTTTTCTAGAACATCAAATCTAAAACAAATATAATAGTAAAGAGACCTGGTCCCATTAGTGATTGAAATAGATAATAATGAAAGAACCAGTGTTAAGTTTAAGGAAGAGATGATAAGTTGGACAAAACACCTAGAGGTAGAAAGGCACTTAATAGAAAGGAAGACACCCACACCTATAAAGTGTACTGGGGAAAATTAACTACATGGGGAAAAATATCATGCTAGTTCCTTACATACACAAATAACTTCCAAATGGACTGAAATGTAAAACAGAAAAATACCAAAAGAGATCTGATAACACAGAAATATACAACTTAAATGTAAAAAAAAATTACATACAAAATTAAAGGACAAATCAAAATCGCAGAAAGTATTCCTAAAACTGAAGAACTATTATAATGTATAAAAACAATTAATGGTTATTAAGTATCTGCACTGATTAAATATAACAATTTCTAGTAACAATTTTAGGTGATTTAATAAATTTTAGACAGTATTTGTAAGTTATAAATATTCATAAATTAAATACAGAAAACAGCAAATTATTTTCACAGACTATTGATAATACAGTATTAAGTAATTATATTATCATATTTAGGAAAAAATGTGAAGCGCATGCACACACATAACACAATTAAGGCCCATACATTTTTTTTTTTAGGCCCATACATTTTTTTAAAAATAAATGTTAAATGTTAAAAGTGGTTCTTCTACCACAAATCCTTCACTAAGAATATCTATGAACAACCTGACTCAAATCACTTAGATTTCTCTATATAATACATTAACTGTAGGTGTTGGTATGACTCAAAAAGAAAATTAGTCTAAACACGTCAGTTACTTGACATGGAAAATGAACCACATAAAATGAGTTGTATAATGCTGTCATTTTAATAAAGAACTCTGCTCAGGAGCGCTAAGTAAGTGGACATTTTTATAAATGAAAAACCAAGGATATACTTTTGATTAACACCAATTTTTAAGACTCTGGTGAGAAATAATATTAAAAAAGATAAGTGCATTCAATGAGAATTTTTATTTCAATTATCCACAAACAATATTATAATACTTTATAAAAATATTAAGTTTTAGGCTACTACTGTTCTTTTAAAAAAGTGATTGTGCTAGAAGGTTGTTTTTGTCAACTTCCATTTTTGGTAAGAATTAGTTAAGTTGCACATTAAGAAAGTGAAGATGAAAAGCTGTTCAAAACAATCCTGAAATGTACAAAGTTGTTTATTTTTCTTGGCAATTAAAAAATACTTATCATTTAAATTCAATAAACATTAAGTTAGTGTTTTATTCTTTATGACACAATTGTTATTATAAGGAACTGTGCCTTTCATTTAAAACCTAATGAAGACCATTGACTTTTCATGGCTTATTTTTCTTAACAGCATTAGTACACAAACATAATTATGTTACTCTTTTTAAAATATTTAGAAAAAATGCAGTATCAAGTCACATAAAGCCCTTTAGAAAATGTAACGTCCCAGGTTATAGATGTTACTAGTAAAACAGTGATGGCACACTTAGTAGGGTTCTCACAGCAAAGATTCAATACTAAGCAGGTTATGTAAACTGAAGAAACAACCAGAGATTTTAGTACCAGAACTTTAGCCAATTTGATTGAAATTCATTTGTCACAATTAAAATGGTTCTAGTGTCAACACAGATATCACAGAATTTTTAATGATTAAATCAGGTTAAGTGACAGTAAATAGTTGCTATTTAGGGGTTATTCCTTGGGGGAAAACATGATGCTTGGAAGGGTGGGGAGTCAGTGAAGAAGAGGAAGATCCTTAACCAGGTGGATTGACATGGTGACTGCTGCAATGGGATCTTGTGTGTCAAGGAAGTGTGAGGATGGCGTAGGATAGGACAGGGTTCAGATCTGTTGTTCAGAGGGCTGATATGAGTTGTATTGGACTCGATGGCACTTACCAACAACAACACTGGTAGATAAAATCTTACATTTCTAAAATATAAGTGCCTGATATAACTGCTTCATTTAAAGTGTGATGACAAAATAGAGCATTTTAAAACATAAATACCAAACATCAGTTATTCAGTGTTTATCACTTAAGACACCAGTAATGCTACTGCTCAAATTTGTATTTAGAATTTCTTTCCAAGTTAATCATAAAAGCTTGTCTTCATATTTCATTTCTTCACTGGAAGTGGGCAGAAACAATTCCTCTTCTAACCACCATTATTTTGAATAAGTTTTCTCTCCAAATCAACTATATTCTAAAAGGGAAAAAAGTAGCCACCAGTAAGTCTATTTAAAAAGTGAATGGAGATTCAAACAGGAATTTGACAATTAAAGAGTTCTAAAAATACTTTTGCATAAAAGTTCCAACACTGTAGTTATGGAAAACATCACCATTTTGAGAATGTATATTCAGTGTTAGGAAAAAGGAGTTGTATAGTTACACCCTGGAACTCTTTCCATCTTAGAATGGAAGTGAGGAGCTCTGCATGCCAGCAAAGCCACTCTGTTACTCTAGGACATCAGCATTAAACATTCCATTTCCTCCTTCTACCTGCAAAACATTCACATTTTCTCTTCTATTTCTTTTAAATACATTTTCTTCTCTGTTAGTATATATTCAGTAACAGCAAAAGTGCATTCAAGTCCCTGATCTACTGTCATCTTGTATCTGTGGCACACGCCACCCTAAGTCCTTGTCAACACCACCTCACAGCACCAAGTCTTAAGTGTTTGGCCTTAGTTTTCATGCTATCCAATAATTAAGCATTTTCCCTTGTAGTGTACAGTACAATTTCAATTATACATTGATTATTATCTGTCTTAATCAATGCAATCTTATACAAGATCAACTCACATTTTAGTTACCTTCATTATTCTAAATTTAGCTATTCAGAAAATATGAAAGTGAAAAAGGTCTTAATCTATTACCCAGGTCCATGAATATGTGTATTAACATAATGCAATATACTTTCAAATGCCATCACTGTGATCCGATACTTAATCAAGTTTTAGATGCTGTTTATATTCCTCTTCGCTTCCATAAAAGTTGGCCCATTTATTTGCATGCGAAAGGAGGCATTTATTAAACCAGCATATTAACTGCTCACCTTAGAAAAAATCTTTGAGAATAATGAATGCCAAGACATTTTAAACACTGGAATGGACTTTGTTGGTCCCGTGAAATATCTTACTTTTAGGATTTCTTATGGTAAAATTTTCTATCTCCTAATTTCTGTCAATGATGATAATTAACAATTTTGAGTTTATGGATATATAATGTATAAATGGTAGCCTGGTTCTTCATTGTCATACTACCATTCACAACATCATCAATACCTCAGCTAGACTTTCTTTGGACCCTGAAGTAAGTTGGAAAATTCATCACTGGTACTTCAGAGTTTAACACTTGGGGGGGGAGGGGAAAGTGGTTTTGTGCAACCAGGTCTGGAATTCCAGTTTACCATTAAAAAACATGCAGAGTAAAGAAGATCTCTTCTTTTGATTCCTATATATATGTGAGGAACTCTACACAGGTTCTTTCCATTTTGGCAGATTTGATACGGAAGAGACTTCTTATAAATTTTCTCCCGGCTGGTACTGTGGCTCTGTAGCAGTGAAGTAGTCTTCCAGAAAGGACTGAATATATTCAAATGTTGGTCTTTCATCAGGATCCTTTTTCCAACAAAGGTTCATCAAATCATGGAGGGACTCTGGACAGCCCTGGGGACAAGGCATCCTGTATCCTCGCTCCACCTGTTCCAGTACTTCACGGTTCACCATACCTAACATACAAGATGCAAACATTAGGAAACAGTGACCCCAACTATCACAAGGAAAAATGGAACACACCTCCTAGTCATCAAGTGACTCAAAGTTTAGGGAAATGATTCAACAAAGCAACAAAATACTTTAAAAGATAAAGTCTATCAAGAAAGACAAAATGCTAATTTGTGATTCAAGATGTCTTGTTTGATTGCGTGTGAATGAACTTTCAAGAAGGAATTCAGAAGAGTTCTACTCTTGGTTTTGCCAAACACACTAACTACACAGCTGTCGTAACACTTTCCTGAAAAAGTTCACTACTTGCACTCCTCTGTGATTGTCTCCATCTCATCACTCTTAGCAGCACCTCAACCCTATTGTTTTCACAGACTATTGTAGTTAAGCTGCCAACCCCACGGCACTGGAAGGTTCAAATCCACCAGCTGCTCCTAGGGAGAAAGATGGGCAATTTTTTTTTGGTGATTGACAGCCTCCGACAAATCACTGAAGGTCAGGTTTGAGTTGGTTTCAACTCCAAGGCATACAGCAACATGCTGTGTATCATGGAGCCCTCGTCCCCACACATCTCCCACACGAACATCCTGCCTGTCAAATCACGCCAACTTCCCTATCTTAATCTCCTATAATCCTAATCCAACCATCAATGACTTTTTCACAGACTATGATTCTTTCAAGCCACAGTAATCATGTTATATCATTACTTCTTTTTTTAATTATATGATGTTCTGGGAAATACATCTTTGTTAATAAAAGGAAACCACAAGATGATTACTTTAGACCTAATACCTACAATTTTCATTACAGGCGAAATCCAGTATATTTTACAAACCACAGAAATAGAAAGAAATGTTGTCAAGGGAAAAGCAAAAGGAAATAATGAATATTACAAAAGGAATTCCTGTAACTGAGATTTTTTTTTCTGGTCATTCTGATTATAGCCTGTAGCATGCTGTGATGTTAACCAAGAAGCCACAGATTTCTAGCAGTTCTATTCACTAGTTCCATAAGAGAAAGACAGGCAATCTCTTCCCATTAGGATTTATAATCTCTGAAACCAAATGGGAAATCACTATAAGTTAGGACTGACTCAATGGAAGAGTCTGAAGTTGTTTTTGATGATTTTGTTCGTCTTTTTAATATGGTTTCCTATTATTTTAACAGTTTCAGCTTGCTCAGCTCCACAGTCAACACTCTTGACACCAGCAGTCAGGAAATCAAAAGATGAACTGTACTGGAAAATGTGCTGTCAGAGACCTCTCCAGTGTGCTAAGAAGCAACAATGTCAGGATAGAGACTAAAGTAAGCCTGATCCAGGCCATGGTCTTCACAATTACTTGCTATGCATCAGAGAGCTGGTCAATGACTAAGGATGACAGAAGAAGAATCGATGCCTGACTTGTGGTGCATGGATCACATAAAAAACCAAATAGGTCTGTCTTGGAGAGGGTGAAACAAAGTTTCTCCTTGGAGGCTAGGATCTTGAAGCTCCATCTCACACACTTTGGGCATGTGGTGAGGAGGGACCATCCCTGAAGAAGGACATCTTGCTCGGAAGGGTGGAGGGACAGCACAGGAGAGGCAAATCTCAGATGAGTAACTGGGGCAATGCAGGTAGGTGTATAGTAACTAGGGTAATTGGGAATAAGCGAGTCAGAGTCAGTGAGACTGGCTCAGGACAAGGCAGACTTCAGAGCTATTGTACATAGGATCACTGTGCGTCTCAGGCAACTCAACGGCACATAACAAGAAAAACATTTATTCATCTAGATAAGCCTATATCATACCCCCCAAAAGAAATTTAATTACCAAAATTTGCCCTTTTAGATAATAAGAAATATTCATTTCATCCCAATTGTTATAAAATCAAAATATGTGAGAAATGTGCTGGTAGAAGTATTCTTGATCTTCAGGATGAGAACATGCCCAAAGCATGTGAGGCAAATCTTCACTATCGTGACTTCTTAATGGTGCTTCAGTTACACTATTTTCAAGACCAACTTGTTGTTCTGTTGGCAGTACACAAGACGGTCACTATTCTTCACCAACACTGGAAGTACTGTATTTAAAATGCCTTCAGGAGACAGCAGCAATACACATGGTGTCAATCTCCTGGATTTGGCACATTTCAGAGACAGTAACCTTCCAGGTTGTTATACATGCTAAAGCAGTTGTCTCACAGATTTGGTCTAATTCTTATAGCTGCTTGAATACTATCACTTCCTAACAGTCAAAACAGAGAGTATCCTCATGGTTATAAATTCATAATTAAACAATATTACTGTTATTTTTTTCCTTCAGTCATGTTTAGTGGAGCAGAGAGAGTTGGACTTAATGATCTTATTTTTCAAAGCAAGAATAATAAGCTAAGGGCAAAGGAGAGGTCTACTCTAACAAATGGAATCGCTGTGAGTCCAAACCCACTGTAGGGCACCTAACAGCAAGGATAATGGTAAATGCAAGGACTGATCACACTGCTTGATCACAGTGTGTAAAGTGTTTAAGGAATGGTGGGTTTCATGACAGGGATAAGGGGTGTAAAACCATGGAAGAAATCAATGAACTGAAAATCCTGGAGCATCAATCAACTACTGGGGATAAGGAAGAGCAAGTTAGCTAGAAGTAGTGGTCAGAGTAGATATATAAACACTACACTGAAGGAGTTGTAACTTTGGTGATATGAAATCTTAAGATAAGAACATGAAAACTGTTTACGGTAAGCTGGAAGAAAAGATCAATTACTGAAGAAGAATTATTATGTTTTAAGCAGCAGAGTAATGGAAAAATAAAAATTTATAATAAAATTCTGGCCATTAATTAATAAGATAGGAGTAACAATGGACAGTGATGGTACGTTATTAGTGAGAACTTGAAAGTTCAGTTCAGTGTTGTTGTTGTGCCATCAAGTCGCTTGCCACTCATATCGACCCTATGTACAACAGCCCTAAACTCTGTTCTGTCCTGTGTCAATCTCATTGTCTCCGACACACGCATCCCTAATACCCCAGTCAGTGAATCAATCCACCTCCTAGAGGGCATTCCCCTCCTGCGCCTGCCCTCCACTCTCCCAAGCATTATGTCCTTCTCCAAGGACCAGTCTCTCCTTACAACATGCCCAAAGTATGTCAGACGAAGCCTCAGAATTCTTGCCTCCAAGGAGCAGCCTGGTTTAACCCTCTCCTGGATGAATCTGTTTGTTTTCTTTGCAGTCCATGGTACCCTCCGCACTCTTCTCCAACATTAAAGCTCAAAGGCATCAATTCTCCTTCTATCCTCCCTGGTCATTGTCTAACTCTCTGACGCATAACAAGTGATAACAAAGACCATGGCCTGTATCAGATGCCCCTTAGTCTCCAGAGAGACACCGTTGCTCTTCAGTACTTTGGAGAGGTCCCTCACAGCAGACTTTCCCATTGTAATATGTCTTTTAATTTCCTGGTTGCTGGTGCCAAGAGTGTTGATTGTGGAGCCAAGCAGATTAAAGCTGTGAACAATCTCAATCTCTTCACCATCCATCCTGATGCTGCCAATTGGCCCAGTGGTGAGAATTTTTGTCTTCTTGACATTGAGCCTCAATCCATATGCAGTCCTTGACCCTCTGCAACAAGCGCTTCAGGTCCTCCTCAGTTTCAGCACTCAGGGCTGTTTCATCTTCATAATGCAGACTGATAGATCTTCCATCAATCCTGATGCTGAATTTCTCCTCATAGAGTTCAGCACAAACCTCAAGTTGCTATAATCAAGGATGCTTTAAGCAGAATATTAAATGATCCAGGAAGTATTAAAAGAAGATGGAAAGAATACACTGAGTCACTGTATCGAAAGGAATTGGCAGACACAGAAGAATTTAATGAAACAACATATGAGCAAGAGCCTATGGTGATGAAGGAAGAAGTTCAAGCTGCTTTGAAGGAAATTGCAAAAAATAAGGCCCCAGGAATAGATGGTATACCAATTGACATATTTCAGCTAACAGATGCTGCCCTGGATGTGCTCACCAAGTTGTGCCAAGAAATCTGGAGAACAGCCACTTGGCCAACAGACTGGAAGAGATCTATATTTGTTCCCATTCCAAAGAAAGGTGACCCAACAGAGTGTGGAAACTATAGAACAATATCGTTGATGTCACATGCAAGCAAGATTCTGCTGAAGATTATCCAAAAACGACTGGAACAGCACATCAGCAGAAAACTGCCAGAAGTCCAGGTTGGGTTTAGAAGGAGTTGTGATACCAGGGATATTGTAGCTAATGTTAGATGGATCTTGGCTGAAAGCAGAGAGGAATGTCTATCTGTGCTTCATTGATTATGCAAAGGCGTTTGACTGTGTGGACCATAACAAACTGTGGATGACTCTAAGAAGAATGGGAATCCCAGAACACTTGATTGTGCCAATGCGAAACCTATACTTGAACCAAGAGGTAGTCGTCAGAACAGAGCAGGGAAATATTGCATGGTTCAAAATTGGGAAGGGTGTATTCCAGGGATGTGTCCTGTCTACATATCTTTTCAGCCTATATGCAGAACAGTTCAGTTCAATATATAACATAAAACTAAAAGAAGGAGTTGGGTGATAAAACTTAATGGCTATGGTGTGAAGGCTTTATTGATCAAAATGGTTATCGTAGCCACTGAGTTTGATCGTGCCGCAAGGATGGGCAAGATCATGCAAACAGGGTCCATTAGTCTATCCACAAGGGGACTGTCTAGTCTTGTCATCCTACCAGGTATAAACAGAGAGGTTTTAATAGCAGGAATTAGGAATCTCAACACCAACAAGGAAGATAAAGATGCTTCCTTAGGTGCCAAATATTTCTGGGCTCACAGTAGCAGCCATAGCAGGCACAGCAGAGAACCGGAGACTCAACTGATGTGAGGCAGAAATGACCTTGGGACTGCTGTCCCACAGAACTAGAGTGTAAGGCCTTCACCCAAGCTTATTGGAGAACTGAGAGAAGACATCATAATGGTAGGACTAAGGGAACTTGGTAAACTGACTTAAGCTTTGAGGTTGAATGTAAAAGGGTGTGCAAACACAAGAAAATGACTGGACTGAGGAACTGTATCCTGCTGCCAACCAAACCTAAGCCTATTAATTACCCCAATAAACCCCATACTATGAGTATGGTTCTGTGAAATCTGTATAGTGACTGCAAAGGATTTTGGATCCAGAAGAGTGTAAGACAGTTGTCAGAATCAGTAGAAGTAGGTGCAGACATATGGAAGACCATGTCTGACTTAACAGGAATTTATTTTGTACTGTGGATATTGTTGATGGGGACAGTTCCCCTTTATGGATTTAGCCGAGGTCAGACCTGGCCAAGCAGCCCACATTCACTACAGTGACCTTTAGCTTTAACACTGGATGTATTCAGGGAGGAAGGATAAGTTAAATAATATGCAAAACTACAAATTTAATATAATAGTCTTAGGGTTTATACGATTTCCTTAACTATTAGGAATAACAAAATAAGGCCAGGGGTTGACTGTAGAACAATCTGTCAAGTGTTCAAGTACAAGTTCAAATTAAAAGTAAAAAAAATTAAAACTACAAGTACCAAAATACAACTTTGAGTCTATTCCAACAAAATTTAAAATCTCGAGCATAGATTTGACACATTCAACACTAAGGACAGAAGACCAGATGAGTTATGGGATAACATCAAAGACATCATCCACCAAGAAAGCAAAAAGTTATTACGAAGACAGGAGAAAGAAAAGACCAAAATGGATGTCAGAAGAGAGTCTGAACTACAAGAAGTCAAAACAAAAGAAAAAGAAATATTGTGGTAAAGAGCTGAAAAGATTTCAAAAGGCAGCTTAAGAAGACAAAGCAATATTAACAGAATGTACGAACAGCTGGCATTGGAAAACAAAAAGGGAAGAACTCACCTGGTACATTTCAAGCTGGAAAAACTGAGAAAAAAAATTCACATGAAGGATTCCACATGAAAAATACTGAGTGATGCAGGACAATGGAAGGAATATACAAAGTCACTAAACCAAAAAGAATTTGTCAATATTGACCCATTTTAGGAAGCAGCATATGATCAAGAACCAATGGTAAAAAAGGAAGAAATTCAAGCTGCACGGAAGGCACTGGCAAGAACTGATGGGATACCAACTGAAGTCCATAGATGCAGCTATGGATGTGCTGATGTCAAGAAATGTGGAAGAGATTCCGATCTGTTTTCATTCTAAATAAGGTGATCCAGCAGAATGTGGAAATGATGAAACAATAACCATTAATACCACATTAATCAGGAGGGTCATTCTTCTGGGAAAGGTAGTGGGTCTATGAAGAAGGAAGACCTTGTTGGAGATGGGTGAGGATGGTGCAGAGGCAAGGTTCTGATCTCATGCTCACGGGGAGGCCGTGAATTGTAGTCAACTAGACAGCAACTAACAACATTAGGAAAAAAGTTTAAGAAAAATCAAAATAAGACTCTTCAATTGCCAGAGAATTTCAAGTGAGTTAAAAGGTACTCACTGATAGATGCTAAATAAAGTTTCTGAGAAGGAAATATGTTGAAATTTTTTTCCTACTAGTGACTAATAATGGGTGCTCTGTGCAACAATGAATGAATGGAAATCCAAAGTCTCTGTAAACTTCAATGAAAATCAAGGGTTTTTTTAAAGAAAAAGAGTAAGAGAGCTCTGGTGACCTAGCAGCAAGAAGCTGAGCTGCAATCTTGAAGACACGCATTTTGAGGCCACCAGTTGCTCTCCAGGATGGGTAACCTCCTCCCATGTGATTAAGGGCCTCTGATCAGAAGGTCAGTTATGGGTTGGTTTCTACTCAATGGTACACAGTAACAATAATGACGAATAAATTCCCAATGATTTTTAAATATACTTTGTTAGAACACACAAAATGAGGAAAGGCCCTCTCAAACAAAAACAGTCTACTGAGAAAAAGAAGGGAAACAGATGTTGACAAAACATACCATTTTAAAAAAGGCTGAGATGCACCCGGCACAAATCACAGTATTTTCAATTGCCTTCTATGTGTGTGAAGGCTGAACAAGGATCAAGGAAGACCAAAAAACTGATACCTTAAGGTTGTAGTGTTGGTGAAAAATACTTATTATACCAGACTGCCAAAAGAACAAACAACTTGATCTTGGAAGTACAACCAGAGTGGCTACTCCTTAGATGTAAGGATAATGAGACTTATGACCCGTATTTTCTGGCATGTTATTGGGGGGCCAGACCCTGGAGGAGGATCCCATGCTTGGGAAAGCAAAGAGTCAGTAAAAATGAGGAAGAGTCTCAAGGAGATGGACTGCACCTGGCTATAACATTGGCCCAAGCACAGCACTGGGTGGGCAGTGTTCTATTCTGTTGTACACAGAGTTCCCAGGAGTCCAAGCTGACTAGACGGCACCTAAAAAGTGTACGATTGTTGTCTTTATTAGGTATGTTGTTGAATATTAGTCACACAAATGAACGTGAACTTGAGGAAGAGTTGAGGAGAAATTCAATATATTTAAAATGTGCTTATTTTGATAGACTTTGTTTGGACCATCAAGTTGGAACAAACCCATAGTTGACTTTCAAGTGGATTTTCAAAGGGAGTAAATCACATGGGAGGAGACTGCCCATCATTCTCTCTAGAGGAGCAGCTGGTGGACTTGAACCACTTACTTTTGTACTGATAGCACAGCTCCTTACAACTAAGCCACAAAAGCTCCATGAAAAGCCCTTCTGGAAAATGTCTTTAGGAAAAATTTGGAGATAAACTTGGAATATTTTTTATATGACTGTCCTAAGTTAAGTTCTGTGGCTGTCACTGGCTACGTCCAATTAACAACAAATAATTAGGAGAGAGAGAGAAGGTGTCCTCTATCCTTCTTGTTAAATTCTTGTACCTAATAAGCCCCAGTTACAGTCACTGACAGGATAACCAACAGCTACAGGAACGCAGGCTTACCTGGATATGGCACTCTGCCTTTGGTTACCAGTTCTGTCTGCAGAATTCCAAACGACCATACGTCAGATTTTATTGTAAATCGACCATAAAGTGCAGCCTCAGGAGCTGTCCATTTGATTGGAAATTTTGCACCTAAAACAGTATTAAAAATTCTGTTTAGGTAAATTATTTAAAAAACCACAAATGAATAAATATTCATTCAAAGTTTATTTATTTCAAGATTGTATAAACAGGGTTGATCTGTCAACATTTCTACTGTGTAGCAAATCCTCAATGAGTATAAGATATTGGAGACAGGAAGATTCTTTAATAATCTTTATAACTTTAACATAATAAAAGAAATATTTTTTCTTGACAAGACAGTTAAATGTTACTGGGGAAAAAGAGAAAGAATTGGTATGGACAGAAAACAGAGGTACAGGTTATCACAAGCAGTCCAAAGTGTGGATTTTAAGATCTGGAACATTTGAAGTACAGTTTGGCATTTGTTGTTGTTGCTGTTATAAGCCATCGTCGCTTGCGACTCATAGCGACCCTATGTACAACAGCCCTAAACTCTGCTCTGTCCTGTGCCAATCACACTGTCTCC